GACCCTGTTGCAAAACTGAAAATCAAATAAATAAAAAGGGCTGTGGATATAGCTCTGTGCAAAGGCCCTGGGTTCAGTCTCTAGTACCCCCCCCCAAAAAAAGGAGAGAGAAAAAAGTAATATGATACCATTTATTTTTGATAGTGAAGATCAGTGGAAATTCTTGTGCAATGTCATAACTCTACCACTTTGGAAAACTATTAACTTGTATGGTTGAATATATACATCCCCTATGATCTAATTTTATATTTTATGCTGTACCTTTAAGATGTACTTTATATTTCAAATTGATTAGGAACCTGTTGCTTTACTTTTTATGTGTACATATATGTATCATTGTTAATGTATCATTGGCAGATACTTTAAAAACTATAATGGAAAGATAAAGAGCAAAGACAACATATATTAAGTCCTACATTTTAGAATCAATACACAAAATTATACCTGAAGATTTCTGTTAGAAACAATTTCCTATATCCAGCCAAAAAGGAATAATAGGGACTGGATTTAACTTCCCATTTGAGGCAGCCAGATCAGTCAGAGGAGATTTAAGAGACTTTGAATCTCAGGCAGTGGTCATCACACAACCAAGGACACCCTCAGGTAGAGCCACAATACACAAGACCTGAGCCCTCTGCCCCACAAGGGCAGAGACAGTAAATGCAGCAGAGGCGACAGACCCAGCAGAGACGGCAGACTTAGTGCTCTGCACACTCATTGAGTATCAGGAACAATGAGTCCAGGGAGGTTTAGATCGCTTATGGTTTACACAGGTGCTATCTGCACATAGATGTGCCTGGCCTCCTGGAGTATTCAGCAAAGTACCAATCAGTGCATGTATGTGAGGAAATTAATGAAAGAACTTTTGAAAAGTATTAGAGGAAACAGGGGGCATCCCTCAGACAGGGCCCAGGAAAGGACTCTTTCCACCAGCCAGAGTGAAAATTCATACTTCACAGAGGGCTTGAGAGCTCCGAAGGCCTTGCTCAGGACTGAGGCGTGATGTGTCCTAGGCTCAACACTGCTCTACATTGGAGCATAAAAGCAATATACAAGAGTATCACACTTTCTAGGAACTGTAAGTGCATCCTATAGGAAAGCACAAAAATACTTCCAGAATCCCAAAGCACCCAGCATCCAACAATTTGTACAATTTACATTGTGTTCTATCACTTGAAAGGTTAGTAGATTAATGGACATGTGGGAAAACATGGAGTTTATTGAAGGGTCGAATAAATATATCTGAATGGACTCAGAATTGCCATAGACTTTAGAATTAGCCTACAGTTCATTGAAATAGTTATTACTACCCCATTCCACAACACAGCCCAAATAAAGTTTAGTGTGACAAAAAACTTGAAAATCAAATTTCCAGGAATTTCAAACTGCAGTGTTGAAATGAAAAATACAAAATTAATGGTAGATTAGACATTGTAGAAGAAAATATTAGTGACTTTAAGTATATAGTATTAAAAAATATCCTAAATGAATAAGAAAAGATGAATTTTTGGTTGAAAAAAAAAAAGTAAACCACCTGTAGGCTATAGTAGAACTTCAGGTAACCAACACATGGAATTGGAGTCTGTAAATGAAAAGAAACAGGGAACAGAAAAGAATATTTAGAGGATTAGTGATGAAATCATTTCCACCACCCACTAATCCAAGACATTTGACACACTCTGAGCACAAGAAGCATGAAGAAAACTAAAGTGCATGAATCATACTCCAAATGCTTTGAAGTCTTGTTAAAGTGAAATCTTAAAAATAGCCATAGTGGGCCGGAGATTTAGCTCAGTGGTTCCGCCGCCTGCCTTGCAAGTGCAAGGACCCGAGTTCAATCCTCGGTACCAAAAAAAAAAAAAAAAAAAAAAAAAAAAAAAAAAATAGCCGTAGACAAAAGACATGTTCTACAGAGGAACAAAGATAAAGATAATGCCAGATTTCTCCTTACATGAGGCAAAGAGAAGATAGTAGAGCATTATATTTAGATTCTTAAAAGAGAAACACCTTTCAATGTAAAACTTTATAGTCAGCAAAAATGGCTATCAGAAACTGAAGAAATAAGTTTTCAGATATTGAAAGCTGAAAGATTTCATCACTAGCAGACCTGCACTACAAGAAATGTTTAGCTATCTCGTAAAAACCTGAATCTGTCCAAGGAATCAAGAAGAAAATGATGACTATATGGATATACATATAAGATATTTTTTCTTAATTTAAATGTTGAAAAAATTTTATTTTAAGAAAAATTACAAATATATTCCATTCATTGGAATAATAACATTAACAACAAATGTATTGTGGGCCTTTATACATAAAATATATGATAGTTTTAGTCTGAATACATGGTAGTTTTAGTCTAAAATACATGATAGTTTTAGTTTTAGGCTGAGAGGAGAGAAGTAAAAGTATGCTATTGTAATGTTTTATATGTGAAGTCATATACTACTACTTAAAGGCATACTAACTAAAGATGCAAGCAACTTGATAGTCACAGAAGATGTAAATGGTCTGAAACAACCCTTTTAAAAGGCAGGGAGGCCAGATGAGATAATTTTTAAAAGGTTAGGGTCTTTTTTTATCACCACTATCATCACCATCATCATCATCATTGTATATAAGAGAAACATGTTAATTTATAAGGTTGAACATAAAAAGATGGAAAAAGAGAACCACTGGAAAAATTAGTAGAAGGCTGCAGTGCTGTTAATCAGATGAAGTAGATTTTAGAGCCAAGAATTTTACTGGCCAGAGATTTTTTTTTTCCTTAAATACTTTTATTGGTGCATTTTAGGTATACAGTATGTTTACATTTATTTTTGGCTGTTTGTACCTGTACGTGATGTATCTTGGTTCTTATTTTTCCCCCATTACCTGTGCACCCTTCACCCCTCCACCCTTCCCTATTTACATAAACTTCTTTTCCATTTTTTTTCTTTTCTCATAATTTTTCCTTTCCCTTCCTTCCTTTCCCCTTCCCCTCCCACCACCCCTACATCTTTGGACCTTTTCTTCCTATTTCAAATTATCAATTATTTGTTTTAATCATTTTAGTCCTTATTTACGCTTTCAGTTTATCACACTAGAGAAACTATTTGGTATTTACACACGTGTGTCCTATTTCACTTAAGAGTATGGCCTCAATATGCACCCATTTAGCTATAAATGTCTCTAGTTTCTCATTCTTTATGGCTGAGTAGTACTCTATTTCATTTAAAAAAACCCCACATCTTCTTTATCCACTTTCCAGTTGATGGGCACTTGGGCTGTTTCCAAGTTTTAGCTATTACAAACTGTGCTGATATAAACATGGGTACACATATATCGCTGTGGTATGATTCTTTTAATTCTTTTGGGAAGATACCCAACAGGGGAATAGCTGGGTCAAATGGGACGTCTAGCCCTAGTTCTTTGAGGTATCTCCATACTGATTTCCACAGGGGTTGCACTAGTCTGCACTCCCACCAACAATGGAGAAGGGTTCCTTTCTCCCCATACCCCTGCCAGCATTTGTTATGGGTTGATTTCTTGATAGCAGCCATACTTTCTGGGGTGAGGTGGAATCTCAGTGTTGTTTTCATCTGCATCTCTCGAATGACCAGTGATGTTGAACATTTTTTCATATGTTTATTTGCTCCTTTTACTTCTTAGTCTAAGAAATGTCTGTTCATTTCAGATGCCCGTTTTTGAATTGAGTCTTTAAATTTGGGGGGTCTGATTTTTTTCAGTTCTTTATATATTCTAGATAGTAGTCCTTTGTCTGAGATCAGCTGCTAAAATTTTTTTCCCATATTGTAGGTTGTCTGTTAGCTCTGTTGGTGGTTTCTCTTGCAGTGCAGAAGCTTTTTAATACGATGAGATCCCACTTGTTGATTCTTTGTGCTAGTTCCCGTGCTACTGAGGTTTTGTTCATAAAGTCTTTTCCTATGCCAGTGTCTTCAAAAGTTCTACGTAAGTTATCTTCCAGCAAGTTTAGTGTTTCTGTCTTAATATTTAGATCTTCAATCCACTTTGATCTTAGTTTAGTGCATGGTGATAGGTATGGGTTTAGTTTTAATCTTTTAGCCAGAGATTTTAAAAGATTGGTAGAGATCAATTTATCAAGAGAACATAAACTTACACTAATAACATTTTTTCAAAAATGTAGCAATCAAAATCTGATAAAACTGAAAGGAGTAATGTGTTCACAATTATGATCAGAGTTTTCTCCATCCTTCTCCCTGTAATTGGTAGAATAAGAAATAGAAAAGTAGCAAAAATAAAGTAGACTTGAGCAACACTAAATAACCAAAGTGACCTAATTGGCATTTGTGATCTACTCCTCCCCATCAGCTTATCTCAAAAAGTAAAAACACAAAACAGTGAATTTATAGTCTATTCAAGGGTAATTTTATGAAAGTAAACAACATTCTTAGTTATAAAATAAGTCAATAAAGAGGAAATTAGAAAGTATTTTCAAATGAATATTAATGAAAACAAAACTTTCCTCATATAGTAGTGATTTGAATTTTCTAGTCTTTTTTCTTCTTCTAGTTATACTAGTCACAGGTTATTCCAGGTAATGGTTTTTTTTTTTTAGTACTGGGGATTGAACTCAGGACCTTGTGCTTGCAAGGCAGGTGCTGTGCCACTGAGCTATAAATCCCTGGCCCTGTTACAGGTAATGTTATGTGTTGGCCTAATGTCTATCAGTTATCACAGTTTTTAGGAGGCTACATGGAGAGATTCAGGTTATTCATACACTGAAAACAAAAGTATGTGTTCTAAAGCCAGATTCTTCTCCCTTTTTCCATTATATCAAGGCTCTGTGTTTGTGGGGTTTTTTTTCCCACTTCAAACCCATGGAATAGAGAAAACTATATACTTAGTTTTATTTTCATCTCTAGAAATGGAACAAAAAAACCACAGACAACTACAATGTAGAGCATCTGTGGAGATATTTTCTTTCATGAGAAATGTGTTAATATTCCTATAGTAAGATTAGTTTTTCTTATTTTTAGAATTTTGGAAAACTGATCACCTGAAGGAGAGAAGCCAAGAAAACCAACCTAAACATTTTTGGGGAATTGTATTCATCAATAACACAATGCTGACTAAAGAACAAGGTAATGTAATAGGGAAACCATTTGACTTGGACATAAATTCTTTTCCTTCCAGGAAAATACTCTGTCACTGTGACTCATATGGAATGAGTTTCAAAAATATTTCAGAATTGTTTATTAGTAGAAAAAATTACTTAGGAAAAAAGCCAGATGAATTGAATGCCTGTGGAAAATTACTACTTGAAATCCAACATGAGAAAACTCATACTAGAGAGAAAAGTGAATGTTTAAAACATAAGAGTTCTTTTGGTCATCAAGAGGATCCCATTCATCCTGAAGACATTGAAACTTTAGACAAAACACTTGAATACAGTGAATGTCATGAAACCTTCCTTGAAAAGACATTAGTCAGTACACACAAGAGAGAAGAGAACACAGAAGAAAATGACTGTGAATACAATGCATGCAGAACTTTCAGTGATGGCTCATTCATTTTGTTCTCTGAGGTATCTCCCTCAAAAGAGAATCACTGTGAGAACAATGATGAGAAATCCTACTGTGGGACGTCTACCCCTTTCAAACATGATGGGGTACATATGAGATATAGTGAAAGTGGGAGTGATTTCAGGAGGAAGTTATGTCTCTCCCAACTTCAGAAAACTCATAAAGGAGAGAAGCACTTTGAGTGTAATGAATGTGGGAAAGCTTTCTGGGAGAAATCACACCTCACTCGACATCACAGAGTACACACAGGTGAGAAACCCTTTCCATGTAATGTATGTGGTAAAACTTTCTGGGAGAAGTCAAACCTCATTAAACATAATAGATCACACACTGGGGAGAAACCCTTTGAATGCAGTCACTGCAGGAAAGCCTTTGGCCATCAATCAGCCCTCACTTTACACCAGAGAACACATACAGGGGAGAAACCCTATCAGTGTACTGCATGTGGGAAAACTTTTTACCAGAAATCAGACCTCACCAAACATCAGAGAACACACACAGGGCTAAAACCCTATGAATGTTATGAATGTGGGAAGTCCTTTTGTATGAATTCACACCTTACCGTCCATCAGAGAACACACACAGGTGAGAAACCCTTTGAATGTCCTGAATGTGGGAAATCCTTTTGTCAAAAGTCACATCTTACACAGCATCAGAGAACTCACATAGGGGATAAACCCTATGCGTGTAATGCATGTGGGAAAACTTTCTACCACAAATCAGTACTCACCAGGCACCAGATAATTCATACAGGATTGAAACCTTACAAATGTTATGAATGTGAGAAAACTTTCTGCTTAAAGTCGGACCTCACAGTACATCAGAGAAGTCACTCAGGGGAGAAGCCCTTTGCATGTCCTGAATGTGGGAAATTCTTTAGCCATAAGTCAACCCTCTCTCAACATTATAGAACACACACTGGAGAGAGACCCTATGAATGTCAGGAATGTGGAAAAATCTTTTACAATAAATCATACCTAACTAAGCATAATAGAACACACACTGGAGAGAAACCCTATGAATGCAGTGAATGTGGGAAAACTTTCTGCCAAAAGTCACAGCTCACTCAGCATCAGAGAATTCACATAGGGGAGAAACCGTATCAATGTACTGAATGTGGAAAAGCTTTCTGCCATAAGTCAGCTCTAATTGTGCATCAGAGAACCCATACAGAAGAAAAGCCCTATAAATGTAATGAATGTGGAAAATCCTTCTGTGTGAAGTCAGGACTTGTTTTACATCAGAGGAAACACACAGGGGAGAAACCTTATGCATGTAATGAATGTGGGAAATCCTTCAGTCACAAATCATCCCTCACAGTACACCACAGGGCTCACACAGGAGAGAAATCCTGTCAGTGTAATGAATGTGGGAAAATCTTTTACCGTAAGTCAGACCTTGCTAAACATCAGAGATCACACACAGGGGAGAAGCCCTATGAATGTGACATATGTAAGAAAACTTTCTCTCAAAAATCGAACCTTATTGTACATCAGAGGACACACACAGGAGAAAAGTCTTGTGAATGAACTATTATATTTGTTCACCAGTCAGCCACTTCATTATACTTCAGAGTATTCACACTGAAGAAAGTTCTGTTGACAAATATTGAATAATCTTCATCCATGGTGTTAAGTTATAGAGTAATGACAAGATAAACCCATGGTCTATGTTATGTGTTGTTAATTTTCCAGAGCAAAGTAGAAGAGGCATCTTCCTACAGATTGAGAGGGCACTGACAGTCCAAAGAATGATGTGGACAATTTCATTTAGGCAAATGAGGTTATTTTAGCTTATTTACAGCATGGTGGATGATTTATGAGCTGTAGCACTACCAAAGTTGCCATTCTCCCTCTGCTAAGCTACTTGTTTTATAGGACTCTAAAGTAAACAGGTAAAAATAGAAGCAAATGATGTGTCCTTGGGAAGAGTTATCTGTACTGTGTTCCGACTCATCCTTTTTGGGAACTCCACTGCTCTTAGCAAATACTGTTAAGACACAGTGCTGAGTTACTTTTCTCTACTGCAGCCTGATACACAGCTTTAACCCCTGGCAAGAGCCCACTGGAAAGCCAAATAGTGGCTTACTGCAAGATGGAGTTGTTTTGGCTAGGGTTTGGAGGCCTTTTTTCCCTATTCACCCATTCCTCTGGCTCTTATATTCTTTTTTTCTTTTTTGGTACTGGGGATCGAACTCAGGACCTTGCACTTTCGAGGCAGGCAGCAGAACCACTGATCTAAATCCCCGGCAAGCTTTTATATTCTTTTGCTGCCACCTCAGTGATGTCTCCTGAACTTGGAGGGAGAGATATCTTACTTGACTGTGAGCTGAACACCAGCTGTTATTTCACAGCAACAGTCTGGACTATGGCAGTACACTCCTAGAACAACACAAATACATGTTCCCAGGTAGAGTACTTAGCACAAGCCTCATAGACATCTAAATGGTCTATATCAGGAGTGTGTGCTTGTAAGTGGCTTAAAGCATCTGTTACTGTAGCCTCATTATCTGGCACATGGTGCCATTGTGAGCACAGGTGCCTCCATGGGCACCAGTCAGCCTGTCAAAATTCATTGTGTTGAAACACCACCTTCCATGTTCGTTTTCTCTATAATGGCTTACCAAGCACTTGCTGGTGCTCCCTTTCCCATTGTGTCATTCATAGGACCAGTCCTGTGAAGACTACCCAGCAATCTGTGCAGTCATTTAGAGTCCATTCTTTATGCACGACCACCATCCATACCACTTTTAGATCAGCCCATTGGCTGCCTTTCCCTTTCCCAAATGGTGTCTGCACCCGTATCACCACTGCTGCCCATTCCAATTTTGCGCCCCTACTGGTGCCATTGGTGTAGTAAATACCTTCAGGAATGGGCAGTGTCCTTTCTAGACCCTTATTGAGCCTCACTGTTGGCTCAGTCACTGGAAACAGTTCCATAGCTTGGAAGGATACCAACTCTAGTATTGCCTGCATGACATTTGTCACTCGGGTAGCAGATAGGATTACACACTGCCCAAGTGTGTGTGCCACTTTTGTAAATTCTGATATTATGCCACCCTAGAAAGGGGTTGACCACCTGGCCTTTATTCCCAGCCCTTCACTGGATATGCTCTCTTTACTATCACTGAACAAGATCCAGTGATAGACTCCACCTGCTGTAGGACTTTACATATGGCCAGCAGTTGCTGCTCCAGTGTCGTATACTTTATCTGGGTTCTGCCCCTTTCCATGATTGGGGTGGAATCCTATTGGAACTGTCTGTTTCAGTTATTTCTGCCATGACCCCCAGTTGTAGCTCTCAGAGCCCCTAACTCCTAAAACATACAGGCATTGAGTTACTGGGATACACAACTATTTAGCCTGCCTTACAAGTATCTTAACTTGCTCAGAATCCTCTTGAGCCCTTTTTTCCCGATTCCCTGTGGTCACCCTTTTTCACAGTTAAGTAATAGGCAGGCAAGTTGAGCAAGGTGGGATATAAACTATATCCATACCCCCAAGACTCCTCAAAACACCATTAGTTACTTTACATCCATTGGCACAGGCTATTTCATGAGGTTAGCTCATGGAGGCCAGGCCCTCCATCATCCCCAGCTCTAATACCTTAACTGGTTTATCCCAGTTCTCTTTTTCTTGTGCATGCTTGACACAGGCCTGTGATTGGAGCTCAGGCCTGCTGCTGTGAGGAGTTGCCACTTTGGGGCATCTGAGATCTTACACAGCTTTTTTTTCTACTTAAATCATACTGCATTTTGCATTTTCATTAGCAAATGACATTATTTCCCATAATTTTGGGATAGTTTCAAGCTATCCCCATACTCACATGGTATTCCCCACACAGAGGCAGATGACCATCCAGGATTTGCCTTTGGGCAGATATCTCAGTGTCAGTAGCATGTCTTACCACCCATAGCAGGGGTCTTGAAACACTGGCTACTGTTCTATTGCAATCCCATCCCATACAGACCCTCAGAAATTGTGATATATTCTCTAGTCCATCAGGTGTGGACTAGACTCATTTAGGAGGTGTGCTACCCCATATACGTGCAAAAGACAGTTCCCTTAGCATTTCCCCCATGGATACCCTTCCCTGACTCATCTTTGGATCTGCTGGGTCAGGCTTCAGATGTTGCATGAATTTCCCAGAGCAATGTAAAAGAAACATGTGCTAATGATTTGAGAGGGCATTGACAGTCCAAAGAATGACTTGGACAAACTCAGTTTTTGTTTGTTGGGGTTTTTATTTATTTATTTATTTTTAGTGCTGGAGATCGAACTCGGGTCCTTGTGCTTGCGCAGCAGGTGGCGAAACCACGGAGCTAAATCCCTGGCCCTGTTTGTTGGGGTTTTTTTGGTACCAGGGATTGAACTTAAGACCTTGTGCTTATGAGGCAGGTGCAGTGCCAATGTGCCAAATCCCTGGCCCTGGACAAGTTCAGTTTTGCAAATAAGTGAGTTTACTATGGATTACCTACAGAGAAATGGAAAATTTATGGGCTGTAGCATTACTGAAATTGCACACTCCCCACCTTTTGCTAAGCTACTGGTTTTATAGGGCTCTAAGATAAACAGCAAAAAGTAAAAGCAAAGAACACGTGTCCTTGGAAAAATTATTTGTACTCTATTGCCACCTCATTGGGAACTCCACAGGTCTCAGCATGCACTGTCAAGCCACAGTGCTGGGTGACCTTGCTGTGTTGCAGTCTGCCCACAACCTCAGGACCTAGTGAGAGCCCTCTGGACAGCTAAACAGCAGCCACTACAAGACAGCATTGCTTTGGCTAGGCTTTGGAGGACTGTTCTCCTACAAGTATAGGACATCCTTTGTTAAGATTAAGAAGATTGATTATGAAGAGCCAGGCATGGTGTTACATACGTATAATCTTAGCACTTGGGAGGCTGAGGCAGGAGGATCGCCATGAATTCAAGGACAACCTGGATTACATAGTTCAAGGCCAGCCTGATCTATACGATCTCAGAAAAGTATGAAGTTTTATAGATACTTTCAGTTGTTTTAATGAAAAATACAAACTGGATATTGCAGAATTTATACTGAGAAATGTATATGTTTATTAACTATAAATTGAATTTTTAATTAAATCTAATATTACAAGTTGTCTTTGGATGTGATGGCATGATTTTCTTTGGAAATATAAATAGTGTTTTATAGCTCAATGTTCTGGAATGTAAAACTTTAAAAACTTAATAGGATGGGGTAAAAGTACAGAACATTCCCATGTGCCTTTGACAATACTTTTTTTTTTTTTTTTGGTACTGGGAATCAAACTCAGGACCTTGCACTTGTGAGGCAGCCAGTGGCACAACTGAGCTAAGTCTCTGGCCAGTCCTATCAAGTTTTACTGCTTGTAGGTTTGAGTAACCATCAGTAAAGATATAACCTAATTAGGTTACAGAACAGTAATCAATCTTGAGTCTCAGTTGCAACAGGATTATGTTTCTTCTCTTAAACACATTCTTTCTGTAACCCTAACCCTAATATCCATTTGAGTAGGAAACTTTAAAATGCATAGGTAATCGAATAACCTAGAAAGAGCATTAAATGCATATGAGAAATCTCCATAACCTGCATAGGACCTATCTGCTCACATGGTAAATTATGTGAAATGTGTGTGGCCTTTATGTGCACAGTAGAATGTAACATCGTTGTGAATGGGAAATAGGTATTCTTTTTTTTTTTCTGGTACCAGGGATTGAACTTGGGACCTTGTGCTTGTGAGGCAGGCAGTGGAATCACTGAGCTAAATCCCCGGCCCAGAAATAGGTATTCTTAGCGGAATAACTGTCACAATACCAGGCCCATGCGCAATATTTATAAGGCCTAAAATAACAGTTTAAAGGAGGCTGTCTTAATTACTGTTTTCATTGTTGAGACAAAACACCTGATACCCACAATTTAAAGGAGGAAAAGTTTATTTTGGCTCACAGTTTGTAGAAGTTTCAGTCTATAGTTGGCTGGCTCCCAGGTAGGATAGAATGGCAGAGGGCTATCGAAAAAGAGAAACAGTCCGTGGCAGAGTAGGCAGGTGGGAGCAGCAGCCAGCCTGCCTTCTTCCTGTCTTTCTGTAGTCCATCCAGTCTACAAACCTATTGATTGGTGCCACCCACACCTGGGGGCAGGGCCTTCCATTATCCACAGAACTATGCTAAACCAATTTAGTTATCTCACACTCTTAATCCCAGGATCACATACTCATGATCTATTGACCTCTCAAAACCCCCAAGTATGGTGCCAGGGATTTAGCTTATTGATGTTGCTGCCTGCCTCGCAAGCACAAGGTCCCAAGTTCAATCCCCAGTACCAAAAAAAAAACCAACCCAGGTATGAGCACATGAGGCTTTGGGGGACAACCAGATACAAGCCATTTAGAAACCTAGAGAAGTAATATCTAGCCATTCATAAGTTATAAATCAAAATAAGAAAATGTTAAAAAAAAAAAAAAAGGTTTCCATGCATGTAGAGATCCATATTGCCCCTTTTCTCACCATGGTTCCTTCCATGCACTAACAAGGCCAGCATTTTACTAGAGTGGGGCTTTTACTGACAAAGTAAATGCCATACACTACAGCACACATTCAATTATAAAAATAATTATAAAGATGTAATATTGTAAAATTAAAATAATAAGGGCCGGGGACTCAGCTCAGTGGCACTGTGCCTACTTGCAAGTGTGAGGTCCCGAGTTTGATCCCCATTACCAAAAAATGAAAAAAAATTCCACAATCTAATAATCTCGGTTTATGCAATCCAAACTTCCACTTTCTGAAACAAGAAAAAGCAGACCAAATTTAATCCAGATTAAGCAGGGAAGGAAAAAGTAAGCATCAAAATGAAGTGAACGGAAACGAATAAACCCAAATCAGATTCTTTGAAAAGGTCAATGAAATTCATAATTCTAAGCCAAACTCACTTAAAAGAGAATGCATTAATTGCTAATATCAGAAATGGAAGAAGTGCCATTACTACTGATCCTGTGGATGTTAAAAGGATTGTAAAGGAATATTATGGACAATTCTGCCCATAAATTTGGTCACTGATCAGAAGTGGGCCAATTCCTTTTAAGATACATTCTGTTAAAACATCTGCAAAGGTAAACTTGGGGTATAGGCACATTAAGAAATAGACATATTAAAGAAATAGCAATATTTATTAACCTCCCAAAGCACATACCACAACCAGACAGATGTACTGGTAAGTTCTACGAAACAGGTAGAAGTGCTGGCAGTTGTTTTTGTTGTTGTTTTACCGAGGATAACAGCAGAGGAACACCACTGACTTATTCCTTGTGGCTAGCATTACCCTAATACTCAGTTCAGACACTTCAGGAAAGGAATAATACAGACAAATATCTACCTTGAATGTACATGAAGAATTTTCCACTAAATATTAGCACATCAAATTTAAAAATGTATAAAAAGTTATACACCATGACTATGTGGGATCTATTGCAGGTGTATGAGACTGAATATCACATCATTAAGCCAGAGACAAACTATGACCCTTTCAGCATTTGACAGTAAAAGCATTTGACAAAACCAGTAACCACTCATGATAAAACCTCTCAACAAATTCAAGAGTACAAAAAAACTTCAACAGGGTAAAGAATTACTACAAGTTATAGCAAAGTCATGTCTTAAATCCAGATGCCCTCTGGCTAAGATCAGGAGCAAGGCAAGGATATCCCCTCCTGCTTTTCAATATCCTTATGAAAATCATAGTGAGTGCAGTAAGACAAAGGAAAAAAGAAAAGGCACTGAGATTTTGAAGGAGGAATTGTTACTTGGTCAGGTACAGTTGCTCACCCCATGACAGTCTGATTAAGTAGAGAGACAAGATGTTGAGGTAAAGTGGGTGGTTTTATTCCAGAAACCAGCTGGAGAAGATAGGAGACTTTAGTCACAGAGCCTATTTTTTCTGGAAGCTGATTTAGGTGTGGTTAATCTAGGCAGTTGATGGGTGCTCCCAGACTGGTAAGCATCTTCTCACAGCAGTAGGGGTGGATGATGCCTAGCTATGGGATGCTGCTCAGTTCCTGCAGATCTCAGAATCAGAGGTTTTTATTTCCTTGTCTGTTCCTGTCACCAATTACATATTTCTCAGTGGACAGGCTGGCTGGAGGGATTTGCTTCCCCAAGGCCTTCTCGATGGTGGAAGTGAACAAAAACATCTTTAATGATTAGCTTTGGTTCCCCAGTTCTGCACCATCAGATGTCCGTTCCTCAGTGTGACTGCTAGAATCAGGTGTCCTCCCTCACATGTGTTAGAGATTCTGGTTTTGTCTCTGATGTCCCCATCATGGCCATCTGTCACCGGTATTGACAAAAAAGTCGATTAGTTTCCCTTTGTCAGTTGTACCTGGGGCTCCTGTTGGGAAATATGGCCTCACATCCAAAGGAGCCCTGGAGCCCCCTTAGTATTTTCCCCGCTGTGAAGGAGGCTCTGTAATTACATTGGGCTCCCTGTTTTTCTTTCCCTTTTCTGGTACCAGGGATTGAACTCAGGACCTTGTGCTTGAAAAGCAGGGTGCAGAACCACTCAGCTAAATCCCTGGCCCTTGGGTTCCCTGTTTTTAAACATAATCTTACTGATTTATTTGAAGTGAATCCCTGCCCTCTTCCAAAGTACTGCTCCATTTGGGAGTATAAGAAAACAGTTCTCATTGTTTCCTGAGTGTACTTCAAGCTGCTTTCAGGAAAAGCACAATGACTTCACTTAAACAGCCTATTCTAGGCTCTTCTGATTGTGATGCAGTTAACATTACATTTGAAATATGAATTAATCAGAAAGGCTGAGAGCGCTCTGGATTTCCATTCTTTGTGGAAAAAGTGGCCAAACGTTTCCATGTTCCTGAGCTGCCAACTTTTCAGACTCTCATTTTCTTTCCAAAAATACATTAAAATTCCTACCCCAGTGCAAACTGACCCAAATAAATCCCTAATTTTGCTGTTCTTATATATTAAGTTAAAGCAAAACAGATGTAGAAAAAATAGGCCCCAACCATAAAAATCCCACTTAAGCACTGACCATTTTATGGTCATCTAGCTGCAATTCATGTTGTGCAAAAGCACTTCTGGATTACCTGGCATGAAATCCGTACACTTATAACTCCACAAATAAATCCATATACTTATACAGCTCAGACATATGACATACTGAATCCTCATATGTAAGTTTTTCCTACAAAAGATAGACAGATAAGCCATCATTTTAAGTTATTTACTCTTGTCAAAGAAAAACCCAGAATTGGTGTGCTTGAAACAGAGGAAGTAATGAACATTGCCTTGTACTTTCATTTGGATTATTTTTGGAGCATTTGTTATGAAAACTTTGCGTAGGAATGTTTTGTTGCTTTAGCTTATGTATTATGTGGGTCACCATATTCTAACTTTTGAGCCCATTACCTGAGTTCTAACAAGCAATTAGTTAAAATGGCACACGACAAAAAGCATCTCACTGCAAACTACAAAGAGCATCCAAACTGTTTAACAGTGCATCCAAACTGTTTTAACAAGATCCCAGCTGCTTACTTACTTGTAACACTCCTGGCACAGTTTAAGATAACACTTGCCTGGAAAAGGACACTATAAACAAGGCAAAAAGAGGGATGTCACAATCATGGCTAGCTGCTGTACAACAGCGAAACTGGTTACAAAAACTCAGGTTGTCAACACAATTTTCCTTATTGTCATTAGGTAGAAGATATCTGTTCATACTTAGAAAATAGTAAATAGGACTAGGAATAGACTAGTTCAGTCTGAAGGGATCACAGGTAACAATGCTGATATAAACTAGACTTCTTTTGCATAACTTTTACCACTTCACTGAGCTCCAATCAGAGCTGATACTGAGGCAGTCCCTTCACTGAAGGGACTGGAATTTCCAGCTCTGGCCTTTGTTGTCCCCTGCATTCCACCACCACTCTTCAGCCTTTTCCCATATCCTCATGAGTTTCCCTTTTTTTTTTTTTTTTTCAAAGGGAAGATCATCATCATTCCCTATAAAGAGGGAATACTCTGCCTCCTCCTCCCTGACAATCACATCACTAAGCTTTCTGGATCTGGAAACTGGTTCTACCAATGTTGTCTAAATAGTGTGTTTTATAGAACCCCAGCAAAGCAGGAAATGAATCAAACTTTTGATCTCCTGTTTGGAGCCTAGAAGGATTCACTCTGGAAGGAGGCTGAATGGGTGTTGGTGGCCCCAGTGGGCATGGGCTGCTGCTGTTGATATCGTGGGAGATGCATGAATTCTTAGAAAAGCTGAGCATATAGTCCTTGGGTCTGATGCTCAAGTCCTGCACAAGAACACTTGAGCTGTTGGCCCCACAACAGTGCCGCTACCTCTGGCTGGCTCAGCTTTTCCCAGTCCCAGCTACTCTGAGCCTTTGAGTTGACGTTACCTGCCTCGGCCATCTACACACTGAGCCACTAAACATGCCCCTTCCAGCCCCTTTCTCTGCAGCCCAGGAGACCAGCTCATCTCAGCCTCATAGCAATCACCTTCTCTGCTAAGCAAAATTGCTCTTTGTTGCAGATCCAGACTGGTGGCAGGGGCATCTATCTTGCAGGTGCACTCTTTACATTTGCACTTGCTACAGTCCTTGTGCCTCTAGGTCTGCAAGCCAAGTCATCTCTGCTTGGTGGCTTAAGAGCACCTATCTTGAGCTCAGATTTAGGCTGGACCCGGATTATCCCATTACTCCTGAGAAGGAAAGGTGAGCTTTTATTTTTCTGCTTTGGAGCATCAGTTTGGACAGATGTTGAACTTCCCATCAACTAGTTTATGTGCACCCCCCCCCGCCCCCAAAAAGATGCCACTGATGCAGAACTGGATACAAGTCCAACAACTTATCAAATCTGCAGTTTGGAACTGCAAAAGCCCAAAAGTGGGGTATTTACCCCCATAAACATTACCTAGATGGTGGAGAAAGCAGTTACTGATATACACACTGGAGTGACTTACTCAGTGAAGAGCCATCTACTTACCCAAATGTCAATTCCTTGTGTCATTGGAGGCTTCTTGGGAAACCTATGCTGTGACCAAGGAAGGCAAAGGAGAGACCCCTAGAACAAAGAGATTGCAGGAGCTGCTAGATGCACCCAGAGGCCTTCCCTGTCACCAGGCTCTCTAGCCATTAGTGATCCTTCTAGGTGACTCCCCAGTTGTTACCAGATAGGTTGGGTCACTTGCCCCATGACAGACCGACTAAGTATAGAGACAAAGTGTTGAAGCAAGGAAAGCAACTTTATTCCAAAACCTGGCTAGAGAAGATAAACTTAACACAAGGCTCATCTTGTCTGACCTGATTTGGGGGTGGTTTATACAGGCAATTGATGAATGTTCCCAGACTGGTAAGTGTCTTACAATGGAATGGCCAGATAATGCACATCTGATCCCTACTTCCTACTGAGGAAATGCTTTTCAGTTTCTGAAGATCTCAAAAGCAAAGATTCCTCAGTCTGTTATCAGAGTCACCATTTCCAATTTCCAATTTGTTACATAATACACAAGGGACAGGCTAGAAGGGAGAAGGCAGCTTCTGTGAAGCCTTGCTGATTGCCAAACTCCAGGAAATGAATGAAAATATTCTTAATGCTGTTTCAGAATGAACAGATGAAGGGCTGATTTTCTGGGCTGAAAAAGTAGTGTACAGATGCATATGTATCATTATTCATTTGTCGAAACTTACATAAACTAAGCTGCTAAGAGTGAACCTTAATGTAAACTATTACTTAATATTAACTAACATCTCTTTCCTCCTAAATGTCTTATCAAGATTGGCTCATCAGTTGTAATATTTTAACACATCAACACAAGATGTTAGTAGTATTACAAATTGTGGAGGAAGTGTGAAAGATTATGTGAGAATTCTGTTTTTTGCTCAGTTTTTCTGTAATCCTAAAACTGCTTTAAAAAAATAAAGTACATTAAATAACCAAACAGCTGTGTATAGCAATATGGATGAGTCTGTATGAAGGTGCTTTCTTTTTTTTAAAATTAATTTTATTGGTACATTTTAGGTGTACAATATAATGACATTCATCATTGGAGATTTGTGCCTTTACATAATATATCTTGATTCTTATTTTTTCCCCATTCCCCTGCCCTCCCTTCAACCCCTCCACCCCTCTCTATTTAACAAAGACTTTGTTTCCATTTTTTCATTTTGTCATATGCCATTCCCTTCTTTCCTTTCCCCTACTCTTCCCACTTTGAAGGTGCTTTCTTTTATGTTTGTCATGATAAAAACATCATTACTGGTTTTTCCATATGAGGTGGGGACAGTGGGCAAGGAGACAAATTCTCAAACTTTTTAGGTTGACAAACACTGAGTATATTGTTTCTCTAAGCCCTGTCTTTTTAGAAAAGTCTCAAGTTTCTTTTCTTCCTTCATATCATTTTGATTGTGTGCTAAAAGTTTTGTTAGTCATGTTTCTGCTGAGACTACAGATGTCATTGATGGGCATTTGAATTGCTTTTGTATGTCTCTAATAGAAATTATAGAAACTGTGGCCTGAAGTTATGGCCCAAATTATCTCTTTGATAGCTAAACTGAGAAGGCCTTGAATGATCTAGCTGTACATTTTCCTCCCCCCTCTGCTCTGCTGGTAGTATCTATCCCCTGGCCAGATGAACCTCTGCAAAGGGCCCATGTGCAGGTCTTCCTTGTCTTTGCATAGAAGGTTAACTTCCTGCCAGCCCCAGGATTATTCACACAAGCCTATCACATCCTCCCCAACATACAGGCCCAAAGCACCCTCTTGATTGCACAGAGTGCTTCTTACAGACCCTGCTTTTTCACTGTGCTCCCAAGCAGACACCTGTGTAACCCTGCATGGCATGTCATGCCCTCCTCACCTCACCTGAGAATGTGTCTACAATATCACCCTTTTTGTAGATTCTTATATGTGGCCGAAGTAACAGGCCCATGTTTTCTAAAAGGCCCAGAGAACACAACACCGGGTTCCTCTCCTTTTTCCGTTTTGGCAGAGTACTGGAAGATGGTGGTTCTGGCTGAAAGGCATGAGCAGTTTGCTTGCACTGAATGACAGTTTTGGGGGGATTTTGCATCTCTTCCCACCTTCAAATGGTCTCGACATCAAAAGAACTGTCACTTGGCTCTGTCCCTGCATGACTAGCTACTGTGTATAACCTGTTCAGCAACTGGTCTCTGAGGCTTCCACCTATAAAAGGCAGGAATGGCACAGTGTCTTCACTGATCAGCACTTGAGCCCCATACCAGGAGCTAGCTAGAGCTTCTAGTTGTGGATATACCTTGGTGACCATCACTGCTTGGGGCACCCATACATACCACTCCTGGGGTGAGCCCATATGACCCTTTGTGGTTTCTGTGGGAAGGTAGGAGACAGTCACTTGGGAGAATTAAGCATGGTGCTCTGGTGGCTACCAAGAGTTGTTTAGGCAAGAGTGGTGGCTGCACTCATCTCCTGTGCTGCCATTGGATACCCTCTTCAGGCTCCTCAGGGGCATTAAGGTGTACATCCATGGTGCCACAACTAACAAGACAAGAAAAGGGGAGGGCCGGGGATTTAGCTCAGTGGTTTTGCCTCCTGCCTCACAAGCGCAAGGACCTGAGTTCAATCCCTGGTACAAAAAAAAAAAAAGGAAAGGGGATAACCTCTTACAATGTACCAAAGGAGAAAACAGCTGCTCTCCCATTTCACAGCCCTTGTCAGTGTGCCTGAGCTTGCTCAACAGTACTGTCGATGAACATGCCAAAAGATGGATCTTGGAATGATGGGACTTGCCAGCCCTTACCCAGGGCACAAACAAGATGACTTTATGTGGGCACTGATCACAGGGAGGTGACTGTCACCTTGGAAGGAGGAGGCAGCCACTCACACAACTGGCTTCCGGGCTCTTGTACTTACCCCATATTCACCCTGAAGGTCCATGCCACAGGTAAGTGGACAAGAAAAAAAAAAGAAAGCTATGACTTTACAAGGCCAGAATTCCAAACTATGAAGGGACTTGTACATAAGTTTGGAAAGCTTGGATTATGAGAGTAAAAGCAACCTCCAATCAGTCCTTTCAGTCAACCTCTGGTATAGACAAAGCATGCCCTGCTGACTCCCTGTGCTGCTATACCTTGAATGCAGCAAATGTAGACGTTTTACTGGAAACCTTCTACAATGAGTGGTAAAAGTGCTTCTGTACCTCTACAAGATCTGAATTTAGAGTCTTCTGAAATGTACCTGTGGCAAACCCATGGCTTTAATACAAGACCGAAATTAAACATGGCTGTTCCATTGTATTTAATTGTGGTACCCCTTGAAATCTTAATAAAGTTACTTAATATAAAAGAGAATAAATAGCTATGTTTTATGTTAACCATTGCCTAGTTCCCCAGAGTCACAGCACTCATTGACTTAATTTTAACACAGATCTCTTATAGGAGGCAGGGAGGTAGGGGCAGTGGTATACCTTTATATTAAGCAACTTTATTAAGATTTCAGGGGGTACCGTGAGCAAGGGTTTAAGATTTGGAGCTAGGGAACATTGAAGAGGGGTTTTCACCTGTCTGTGAAGAAAATATTGAAACTTTCATAGTTCCAGTGTTACTAGGAACACAAGAATATGCCTTCAAACAGAAGTGCTTCACATCTCACTGCTTCCAAACCATGTGACTTATGTGTAGTTCAAGTTCCTTCACAGCTGGATCAGAATTGTTTTTGCTACTTATGTTTCCACTTACTTTTCTAGTTTGGACCATAAAAAAACTCATGCAGGTATTTAAAAATAGGTGTCTAGATTCTATATCTTTCTCATTTTCTTTGATTCTATAGGCCATCTTCAAAAATTAAGGTGTGGCCAATTACAATTGTGAACCAGAGGACTGGTATCTGTGCAGGAAGGAAGCAGCTCCTCTCTTTCTCTTGGATGGAGGCAGAATGCACGGCCCCTCCTTTTCTGTACCTGCTCTGTGGCCAGGACTTCTCGTGATGGTCAAGTGGGTTTCCCAGATTCAAGACCTCTCCTCTGCATCTTGTGGGTGTGTTCATCAGCTTTCCATTTCCACCTTGTGGGTGTGATAAAATACCTGAGAAATCAATTTAAAGGAGAAAGCTTTATTTTGGCTCACAGAGGTTTCTGTCCATGGTTTGGTTTCATTGTTTCTGAGCTTGCGGTGAAGCAGAATATCATGGTGGAAGGGTGTGATGGAGTAATGCTTCTCACCTCATGGCAGAACTCTGGGTGTGGTGGCTCACACCTATAATCCCAACACTGGGGAGGCTGAGGTAGGATTGCTGTGAGTTCAAGGCTAGCATGGGCTATGTAGTGAGTTCAAAACCTGCCTCCACTACATAGCAAGACCCTGTCTCAAAAAACGAAACAGAACGAAATGAAGAAAAGAAGGAGGAGACAGGAGACCAGTGTGAAGATACGTTTCCCAAGGAATGTTCCCATTCCCCATTCCCTTCAAATAGGCTTCACCTCTTAAGTTTTCATCACCTTCCAATAATGTCAAAAAATAATGAATCAAAGGATTAGTCCTCTGTTGAAGTTATAGTCCTTATAATTCAAACATGTTCCAAAATCCCCACTTCTGAACATTGTTCCTTGGAGACCAAACATTCAATATATGAAGTCTTTGGAAACAGTTCATATTTAAGCCCTCACAGTGGGTTTCCACCTAAACATCATCCTTTCCTCACACTGACATGCTGATTCTCCTTGACAGCTACATCTCCCATTTCCTCATTTTTTTTTTTTTTTTTGGTACTGGGGATCAAACTCAGGTCCTTGCGCTTGCCCAGCCAGCGGCGAAACCACTGACCTAAATCCCTGGCCCTCCTCATTACTTTTAATGAGAAGTCAGCAGAAGATATGGATATGCGTGGGAATGAATTCATACTAGTGGATGAGTGGTGGCCACTCAAAATACAAGAGTTGTTGCTTTTAAGTTACATAAATACATAAGAATCTTACTAATCAAACGGGAGTCATTGAAGTAGTTTAATATTAAAAGCACTCCAGACCCCCAGGAAGTAACCTGGGAATGAAGGTACCACACACACTAACTTGCTCCCAGAGCCTATCTATCTGGCTAAACTTTTGCAAGTGTTTCCTGGTTATTATTTTTCCCACTTCTCCACTTCTTTAAAAGTTTTCTTAAAGGTTCAAGTTTTCCATCTCAACTTCCAGGAAACAGTGGGGGGATGACTAAGACTAGGACAAAGTAGTGCCTCTCGCTGTGTCTTCATGCATGTTAATCACCCATTCTTCAGAGCCCCAATTTGTAGTGTTTGAGACTTTCCATGGTGTAAACACTCCTACAATGGCCAATTGCAAACTATCAACAGTTAAAACCACTGGCTCACAAAATTCCAATTGAAGAGTTGGTTTCTGCTTCTATTTATTCTAATTCCCTTGGACATATAGTAAATGTTTTCCTCTAACAGAATATTCTGCATACAGAATTTGACATACTTCAGTGATAAGAATGACAATTATTCAAGAAGAGCATTTGCAACCTTCCTAGAGACTGCTTCATAAAATGTCAGAAGATTCACAAAAAGGAATCTAAAATAGCTGTAAAGGTATTGGCAGTCTGCACCATAGAATAGGGTAAGACTAAGTAGGCCAGAGAGTTCTCGGAGGACCTAAGGGTTCAAGAAACTATCTTTCTGTGAAATGTAAAAGGTGAGGAAAAGGGAAAATTCACCTCCTATTCCCTTCTTCCTGGGGTTTTGGAAAGGGAAATATTTGTGGATGTGAACCTTTTGACCATAGACTGAGAAGAGGCTGTGGCAGCAACATGGCCCAGGGATCCTTGGAAGCCTACTCCTGTAGCAGATTCCGCTGGTTGACTAGGTAGTCAGCAGTGGTAACAGTTGGTGGACAGGCTTGTTTTTTCCACCCATTAAAGATCTTGACATAAATCAACATCCTGAACTCTGTGCAAGGCCACATATACCTCTAGGGTTTGCATGTAAGGAGGGTGTCCTCCGGGTCTCATGTTGCTCATTCATACACTGTTATATTTTCTGACTACTAAAATCCTGGTAGTTTCACCACCTGCTGTGCAAGTGCAAGGACCCGAGTTCAATCCCTGGTACCAAAAAAATAAATAAATGAATAAATAAAATCCTGGTAGCACTGTGTTAAGAATGCTTATCCTTTATGATTTAAGCTATTTCCAGGAAGTCTGAAAATTACTACCTCCCAATATTCTTTGAACTAAATTTTATTTCCCCAGACCTTTGGCTTACAAATAGAAAAAAGAAAAGCAAATGTACAAATTAGGCAAGATTCTACTTTGCACATATAACTCCTTTTACTACCATAGTTAGAACATATGTTGTGAGGAGCTTTTTGAACTATAGGAGAGTGTACACTATCCATCTACACTATAACATCATTGTTACTTAAGAAGCATTCATTTTCATTTTCTTTTTTTTAATCCAACAAATGTTTGCTGAATGGCTTAATCATACTGAGATACCGATTGTAATAAAGAAAAAATCCTTTATTTTCAATAATCTTATCATAAAACCTTGGTTTGTGAGTATAATTCATTCCAGAAACATGTTTGTAATCCAAAGCACTTGTATATTTTCTAATAGTGGAAATTTAGATGATTCATTCCACAAGCCAAAAATATTAATATAAAAATGTTTACAATACTGTAACATAACCCAAAATAAAGAAAATACAAAATATAAGAAAAATGAACACATTAACCTGCACTTACCTTGCATACCTTGTGATGTGAGGGAGACAAAAGGGAGGAGGGTTATTGTGTGACTCACACTATCTCTAAGAAAATCACTGCTATCTATTGGCTCAATGAAATCTTTCTTTTTGTGCAACTTTAACAAGGAACCTATCCAATGACACTTCCTTCTGCCTCCTTTTAAGGATTTCACAGAAATACGACCTTGCACTGTCAAACAGATTCATGGCTTGGACTGCTACAGTCTTATCTAGGTGATGTTTTTCTACAAAATTTTGCAGTTTCCCATATTTTTATACATCTCCTGAATCTCATTTGAAGTGAGCAATTCCTCTGACTTTTTCTCCTTCTCTTCTGCAGACAAGATCTCCATAACCTCTTACTGGAAAGTCTTCATAGAGGAGGAAAGGTGCCCCTGGGTTCATGTTTCTGGAACTCTCTACCCAGAATGAGAGGACTGCTGAGGTGAGGCATTTCATGTGAAGCTAATTAGGGTGACCTCAGATGATGTGCTTTGCCTGGGCATTCTGATACATGCACAAGCTCAACTTTGCAGACTATCCAGCTTAAGAAAAAAGATCACCTAACAAATTTAATGTGAATCCCTCAGAGAGTAATGTCTGCCATCAAACCCTAGCCACACAAAAACAACTTCTGGGCAGCAACACAGTTATTACAAGTGATCCTTTCTTTATTTCCACATTCATGTAAAAGGTTCTGATATATTTGGGCTGGTACATAAATTATAATGATAGGGAAAAGTTTTAAAGTAAGTTTAGTAGATTAGCTATTAAAGTAGTTGTGGAAGCAAAATAGGTAGTGTATCCCTTTAAAAGCTTGCCTTAGCCCATTGCTTGTTGTTTAAAGTGAAGGTTATATAGCTCCTTTCATCTGTAGCTCCACTATAGATAACATCCTAGCTCTGAAGAACAAAGTGGGAATCCTTGAACAAACTTGTGATATATGTGCCTTAACTGTCATGTTTATGACTGTAATCAGTGACAGAAACTACCTGTGTCTAACCATAACAGAAATTGGAACTTTATTTACTTAACAAAGACCACTAGCGATGAGATAATGACTGACAAAAGTATAAAAGGTGACGGACAAAGAACACAGCATGCAGACTCTGACCAGACCACTTTCTTGCAGTCCTGCCTGCTTGCGAGTAAACTTTTATTATTTTACCTGAATTCTGTGTCTCCATGTATTTCTTTCCATGATTCCAGAACAATAAGAAGTTTAAAAATACACAGTTTTCATGTTTAAAAAAGCAGTAACAGATTGCTTCCTCCATTTAATTATCCAAGAGATCAAAATATTGGGTTTGAAACTCTTGGAAGTCCTCAGGAATGGTATCTGCAACAAGATCACAGGAGTTGATTAGTCAGGCTTCTCTCACCCTAGAATCCTGACCTGTGCATGCTGCAGCTGCATGGACCACCTACAAGAACACTTGTAGCTCGGCCAAGAAGCTCTGCAAGTCCCTGCAGCCATTTTCTACTTCAGGACACTTGGGCCACTGTTGGCTTAAAGCCTAACAGTGTTCATTCAGAGACCTAAAGAAAAATAGCAGAGTGGCTTTTCAGTCTGTGCTTATGTTTGAGCCATATTAAAATAAAGGCTGCTTGCTGCTTGTGAATTAAGCTTCACTGAATTTCTCATTGAATCCCAAACCCTTAACTATGCAGTTAAATTGTATGGGTCTTAATGTCCATATCTATAAGTTATGAAAAATTAGGTCTACTTTTTGCTTATTTTACACAGGGACTATCAGTTTTTAATAAATATGTAGTATGAGCTTTGGACTTTTGCAGGAAAAGTGTGCTACAAAAACAAGATGGCATTACTTGATTAATTCTAGTAGTAATATTGTGCACTAGTGAGAATGTATATTACCATTTCAGCAATACTTGAGGTTGGACCAGATGATGTTTTCTTGAGAGAAGGAGAAAATGCCAAGTAGAAAATGTCACCACACATGGTGGTGTCTACGGTGACCCCAGAGTCAGCCACCAACTTAGAGCCTGAATAAAATTGCACCCTGCAGGTAACACAGGCAGAGCAGGTCTCCATGGAACCCAAACCAGGGTGAAGTGCCCATAGTGAGACTCACAGTCTCTCTTCCGACACTCTATTTTCCACCGATGTAGACTGTGCTCTAACTGGTCCTCCTTTCCTACTAGGTTGGAAGCCCCTCAAGGACTGGACCTGTGTGTCTACATCTTCCCAACTTGGCCCAACATCATGTTGGGCACAAAGCAAACTTGATAGGTACTCACTGAAGAGTGGAAAAGAAATTGTCTGACATCATGGACAAGAGTTTTGGGGACTGGGTTATGACAGTCCCTAACCTGGATATCCAGTCTGCCTAAGGTCTGGTTTCCATCATTTGGTGACTCTCAGAGCCATCATTCTCAACAGGAGACAGCACTCCTTCAGCAGAGGGTCAAACCTCTGTGGGGGCACTATGGGTTGTCACAGTGGCAGTGTGTGACAGAAGCCAGGGATGATGGAAGGTTTACAACTCCCTGGAGAGAACAGTCAAAGTTTCTTTTTCATCTTGGACCCTTTTGAAGTATTCTTGTAGGCATATAGAAATGTGAACAGACTGTTCATAATAACCAGGACCAAGAATATCTTTTACTTATGAACATCAAGTATATTTTGCATTGATTTTAATATAAATTGAATTTTCTAGGATACATTGGGAAAATACTGAGTATTTTTTGCTTTGTCTAAAAATTAAGAGTTGTCATGATTTTAGGACTTCATATCACTGTTGACAATACTACTGTAATATTTAATTTACATATATATCAATCTGTATTTGAATGTCACCTCCACAGTGATTCAGGAATGGATGCAATCCTACCTTATTTTGACTTTTAGTGTGGTTATGCCCAAACACTTACATGATTTTGTTGTATAGTTCAGGTTGATTTTTCAAAGATTATATGTGCAGGTAGGTTATATTTTCTTTCTTTTGTGGTAATACTAAGGATTAAACCTAGCTACAGTTTTTCCACTGAATTACAACCCTAGTTTTTTCCTTTGAGACAGGGCCTAAGTCACTAAGTTGCACAGGCTGGGCTCAATTTGCAGTCCTTCTGCCTCAGTCTCTTAGAGTGCTAGGAATACAGGGGCACATGACCAAGACCAGCTAGGTTATGTTTTCTACAATTTCATTTGGGACCAAAAGGGGGCAATTTAAAATTTCTCATAAAAAAGAGGGGTGTGGGTTTAAAGGGTTAAGAATGTGGTCAGGCATAGTCAGTCTTAATGAGAGACCAACTGAGTACATTTGACATACTGTCACAAAGAATAAAATATGAATCAGCCCTCCTGACATTAATTTTCCCACGACTACTTTCCTCCCCTGGTCAGAAACATGCAATTCATACTCCTTTGTATATATATTACACAAGTGGGCATCTACACAGGCTGGTCTGCGAGTTAGAGGAATGAAAAACTAAGTACATTATCTAAATTTCAAAGATACAGCCCTAAGACCCCATAATTCATGCAACTAATTAAAAAACACAGACCTTAAAAGCAGTAAGGCAGATGATGCTGACCTCCCTAATGAACAGCTTGTGCCAGGAGCTGGGCTGGGTGCTGGCAAAAATAAGAGGGAAATGTGCTGCTCACCTGGATTTTACAATCCATCAGGGAAGACAAGTCAAGGGCTTGGGTCATTCTGTGTAAATCACACAGGGTCTGAGGGGATCTCAGGAGAGTGTGCTCATGCTTCAGCCATGCCTTTTACTTCATGCCCATTACCAGCCCAACTCTGGACCTGTCCCATGAGCACAGCACAAGGGCACTGCCATGCATGTATACTCATCTGGCCATGGCTGAGGCCTCCCCCAACACTCCTTCCATCTCCAACTTCTCATCCTGTCTGGGTGTCAGTGTGGGTCTAGATGTCTTACCACACTTTTCTGGGAGCCCTGGCAAGTCCTAGAGAGCTATCCAGATCAGGGATGCTCAGGGAACCCACTCCAGGTACAAAATGGAATGGCACTTTGTTTCTGGTGCTAGGGGTGGAGAAAGAATCTCTGTCTACCTGATATAGCCCACCTGGGGCCTGTGCTGCAGGAACCAGTGGTAGGACACCTTGTCCTTCCAGCCCACATTCCTGGAGTCCATCTACACAGTTTGACCTGGTCACTAGTGTCCCGTGTGCCACAGGGAGTTCCAGAGGTGCTCCCCAGGACCTGTCTTGGACATCACAGCCTGGATAAAGACACAATCAAGGTATTAGAACAGGACATAGAGAATTCCTTCTTGCTTCCTGTGTCAGAAAACATGATATAGTGCTGAATTCATGGTTACTATAGGACTGCCTTGGACTCAGAGGAAAGCATAAACACTTAAATGTCAGTTCTCCTAAGGTGACCACAACCCCCTAGTACTAAGTAGTAAACAGTACTGCACTCAGGACTCATTCCACTCTGTCCTGCTATATACAGCCATTTCACCCCACATTTGCCCAAGGATGGCTCATACCAAATGTCTGGCTATTGAAGTCTGCCTTCTGTCCAAGCAAGCCTGAGAGAGGCTTCACAAGCCCTCTTGAAAGCAGGTGGCCTCACTAATAAAATGATTAGCCAGCACAGCATGCCTAAAGATGCATCCCAACCTTCCCTACCTCTTTGACCCCACTCAGGCTGCTGTCCCACCAGAGAGTCAGGAATGAAGGCAAGGCCCTATGCCAGTTCACTCTTCCCTGAGCTGAACATGAGCATCAATTCCACCAATTTCTTAGATCACTACATGCCATTTAGGAGAACTTAGAATGTAAAGGGAAGGTGGAGGGCCTAGAAAAAAGGAAGATGAGGGGCTTCAATCCCCCATACCTTGAGCTGAATGCCAGGCTCTGCCACAGCTCTGAAAGGCATGGCTTGCCAGTAAGTCTGCTCAGTCTGCTTCCACATGACCATGTAGAAACTGGAGCTGTCTTGGTAACCAAAGATAAAACCTGCATAGTCATCATCTGTCTGGGTGTTTACATTGAAGGTCCCTTCAAAGTCAACTCCATTAAAAGCCATGTACCCTACAGAGATCAGATATGATTAGGAAAACAGACAAGCCACATTAACAGCTGACAAGATTCTATATGAATGCTAACTGGGGCCCTAAATCTACCCACAGCAAGGCCAGGATCACTGTTCCTGGTCTGCGCAATCTCCATGCCCTGTAGAAAAAGGTGAGGGAGTTTAGAGAAATTCTGAAGGGGGCTGAGCGAACATGGGGAACCTCAGAACCTCAGGCACTATGAGTGATAGCCAGGGATGTCTGATTTTGATGTTAAAATTCATTATCTGGGTAGTTGCTATATCTCATTATGAACTCAGAGAAAGCACAAAAGCACAAACTAGTTTTTAAAAAAAGGTTTAAAGAAGGCTCAATGTTGAATAGAAATAATTTTGCTAAGATTTTCACTTAAGTTGATTCAATCCACCCTTAACTGGCAAACATACAACATATGCTTCTAATGAATATGATTTTCTCTGTGACTCTGGCAAGCCTCTCTGTGCCTTCTTTCCTTAGTTACACACTGAGGACACACAGGTGAACAGTTTGATGGAGAGGTCGGGAGTGTGGCTCTAGGGACAGACTGCCTAGGTTCCAATTTCAACTACCTCAGCAATGTACCCCAGTGCTATCATGAGCAATCACTGAAGTGTTGCAAAACTCAACTTTATCACCTGTAAAATGGCCATGATGAAATTATAGTACTCTAATTCAGGCTGCTATGAGGAATATATGTCTGGCACAGCCAGCCCCCTCTAAAATTTGCCTGCTGCTGTCTGAAGGGCCTCTGTTGAGAGGCAGATTTGAACTGTTTCCAACCATGTGACACTGACCTGATTCAGGACCACCCAGTTGGGGTCAATTTGGGCATCAGCTTTGGGATCCAGGACCACTGTCTGGGAGGCCCTGAAGTCAGTCAGGGTGATCTCTGCATTCTCTGAGCAGATGTCGATCCAGTCAATGACCTGATCCTGGTCAAATTCAGTCTCACAGATGTCTCCCACCCCATCTCCTGAGTTGGGGAAGAAAAGGGGTAGAACTCAATAACACCCATGCCCATCAGTCCTCAACAGAGCAAGGAGGCTAAACAGGGCAGATATGCAAAACCCAAGCTCCCACCCTGAAGTTTATGATTTGCAGTAGTGACAGGAAAGAAAACTGAGGTGGCCCCAGGACCTCATCCAGGAGCCCTCATGGTGGATGACCAGGCCTTCAAAAACTCAGACTTTCTCATAAGATACTGCTGACTCAATGGAAAAGGAACCTTACACTACAGTGTCCCAACAGTTTTCTTAGTAAAACTTTTGATCTACCATCATCCTGTCTGTTAAAGAATGGAACCAGGGGAAACAGAGCCCCTCAGAGAATATAGTCCAGAAGAACCCATCTGTGGCCCTCAAGGGAGGACAGCTGTCAAGGTCTGGCTCTCGTGAAAGTACCCATGCACTGTTAGCACAGTCCTCTCAATCGTTGGCATTTTTCAGGTAGTTTCTGTTACAGCACTGAGTCCACACGGTACTCTGTATGGCTTCTGCCTACAGATAAACTTGCCATTCTTGCACTCATTCAGGTTTCAACAAAACCTTCTGTGGTTTATACACTGCCAGGGACTGTAAAGCAATGGGAATGGACATATAGAAAACATTAGTGGAATTCATGCTTCATCTCAGCAGAACCACTGAGGTAGATCCCTGGCCCCCTTCAGAGCTTCAAACCAACCAACCAACCAACCAACCAACAAAACACCCCAGGACTCTCTACTTCCCTCAAGCTGGTTCTCCTCCAGTGGGCTTTACGGTCACGATTCTGAAGGACATTCTCTGGAGTTATACACATGGACCCCAGGGAGAGATACCACGGCAGGACCTTGAGTCAGATTTGACGGAGCAAGGATGAAACCAAACCAACTCGGGCCAGGGAATTAGCTCAGTGGTGCAGCTGCCTCCCTTGCAAGCGCAAGGTCCTGAGTTCAATCCCCGCTACTGGAGGGCAAAAAAACATGTGAGGCCAACAAAATGAATTCCAACACCTTGCCTGTTTTAGGAGGAGGATCAGCTGGTTAAACAAATGATTCAAGTTTTCCATTTTCGGGAGGCTAGAGCTTGCACAAAGTACATTTAAATGAAGCAGAAAGATAAATAGTAAGAACAGAAATGACTGATGTAGAAGGATAAACATCAGCAGCACTCACCGAGAACTCCCAAAGCTGGTTCTTCCAAAAGATTAATACAATAAGCGATCACTAAGCACGTCTGGCCAATAAACACTAGTGTTGAAAAAGGTAACATCACAGATGTATGAGTTTCTTTTCCTCCAACGAACTATACAGAGCACTGTGCTACCCTAGGTTCAAATTCAATGACATGAATGGCTTTCTAGGACAACCAAAAGTACCAAACTGACTTTGAAGAGATAGAAAATCTGAAAATCATCAATGGTCATGGAAAAAAGCTACACGGCAGTTAACTTTCCACACACAGCAGCAGGGCAGGGGGTGCAACTCAGTGGTAGAAAACTTGCCTAACTTGGCCTAGGCTCTGGACTCAATCCTCGGCACTGCAAGACAGAAACGAGCCAAAACACCAGCAGTCTGCACGCAGGTTCTGCCAAACTTCCAGAAGCACATT